CCGGGGGCGGCCCCCCGACCGCGCCGGAGCCCGCTGGCCGCGGGGGACCAGGTGGGGCTGCAGCCCTGGCCTCTGCGCCCTTTTCCAGCGGCCAGCGTGCAGGTGGGCGCCTACCGCCTCTCCCGAGTCTCTCCTCTCAAGGGGCTGGCTCAAGGGGGCCGCCCTTTGGCCAGGGGCTCAGTAGAGTCCCAGGAAGAAGCCCAGAGAGAAGCAGAAAGAGGCAGACTGGAAACCCAGCCTCCCTGCCAACCCCTCTAAATGACTTCCTGGTGCCCACCCTGCACCCCCTCCCACCCCTTTGGCCTTGTCTGGCCGGGCTGGCGGGGCCTGGCTCTGGGCCTCAGACACTCTGGAATCGCCAAGCTCTGAGCTCAGGGCCTGGCCCCCTTCCCAGGCTAACAGCCGGGAGGAGGGGGGTGCTGCCTGAGGGCCCAGGGGGCTGAGGAGGGGCACTGAGGGCCTGGCAGGGGTTGGTTGGCATGGGCTGGGGCGTTTGGCCAAGGCTGCAGAGCAGTGAGGCCTGGCCACTGGTCTGGAGAGGAGACCCTGGAGGGCTGCCTGGCCTGGGGCCCAGACTGTGCCCAGGAGACTGGTGGGAGACCCCAGGATTCAGCCTCTGACTTCCAGAGGTCAGCTGGGGTGGGTGTGACCAGGGCAGGGCCAGAGCAGGGGAACAGGATGACACTGAACCTGCCCTGGGGGGCCCCCTGGGGTGGGCGCCCACGGCACAGGGTGGGAGGAGGGAGGTGGAGACACATGACTCTGACACACCTGTGGCAAGGAATGGTTTTTGTTCTGAAGGTGTATAATGGGGGGACTTTGGACAGTCTTCAGGGGAGCCACTGCTTGGATTTCTCCGTGGGCTCTGCTCATAGAGTCTGGTATTTCAGGGGGAGGGAGGGAGGGAGGGAGCCTGTGTCCCCAGGGAACCCCTGCTGGAACCAGGAGGGGAGCAGCTCCCAGCTGTGCACCTGGCTCAGGTCACACTGAGGTGGGGACGCACAGGGAGCTCTGGACACCTGGTGCGTGGCTGCTGCCTGCGGTGCCTCGGCTACAGTGCTGTGGACCCGTCCTCCTGACCAGCGCCCAGTCTCAGGGGGATGGGCTTTCTCTCACCAAGTCTCAGTCTCCTCATCTGTGAAATGGGGATCTACTCACCCCACAAACTGTCAAGACACAGGGCTGGCCCTCTCCTGCCGTCTGGAGCGACTGTGCTGGGGGCAGACCAGCGTGCACACAGCAGGCTCCAGCACAGGCCCGAGAGCGAGGCCCGAGAGCGAGGCCCGGGCTGCCGCGGGGACCCGGAGTCCAGGAAGCCCCTCTGAGAAAGGGGCTTCTGAGCTGGAGCTGAAGGAGGCTGGAGGCAGCGGGTGCAGCCAGGGCTGAGGGGGCGCCTGCAGGAGGCCCCAGAGACAGGGGCTGCATTGAAGAGACAAGTAACAGGCTTCAGGGGTGGGGAAGGCCCCTTCTTCTGAGACCTAGGAAAAGCCGGTGGAGCTGGGAGGCCTGGATGAGGAATGTGGGTGCAGGACAAGAGAGGGTGCTGTGTCCTCGCAGGGAGGTGACATCACCGGGACCCATGGAACTGTGTCTAGAGGTGGACTCTAGCGCCGGATGAAGTGGAAGGCAGGTGGTGAGAGTGGCCAGTCAGGAGCCTGAGCCCAGCGGGTGGGGGAGCCGGAGAGGAGGGAGAGGGAGGGCCTGGGGCTGCCAGGCCCGCCTAGTTCGAGATGCTTGAGAGTCACCCAGGAGCAAAGAGAGGTCTCAGGGCCTGGAGCTCAGGCCCTGCAGACAGATCCCCAGGGTACAGGGGCGTTTGCAGCGCAGGAAAGGGTGGGGTCAGCTTAAGAGAGAAAAGCTCCCAGGCAGACCCCGTAGGCTGCCCCTCCGGGTGAGGGAGAGGAGGCGTCCACACAGAAGGAGCAGCTGGCGGAGCAAGGAGTGAGAGCCAGGAAGGAGAATTTCAGAGGAGGGTGAGCGGGGTCC